CCGATCCTGGCTCTGAGCCTCGGTGTGAGCTGACACGTAATCGAGAATAAAATATGTATTTGGTAATGTCATGGCCTTCAGTTATGGAAGGGCTTCTAAACGAAACTTAAAAAAAAAAGAATTTATCGAGGGGGAGGATCGGCCTTCTCTCTTCATCAGACAATGAGATTTTGATAGATCAGCATTTCCCAAGACGTGCTCTGAGGAACACAGGCCCCGAAGGGATGCCACACACACAGAGGGCCTGGCGTTGGGCATGAGTGTGGGTGAGGCTGAGGGGAGCGGAGGGGAGCAGCTGTGCTTGCTGCAGGGTTTCTCAGAGCCTTTGTAAGCGAAGATGCCTTGTGAAGCTCCATGCATGAGGGACAGGACAGTGTTTCCCCAGCTTCCTGTGACTGAGGAACCTTTCCCGCAGGCACACCCTGGGACACGTCTGGGAAGAGTTGCTGGGAAGAGTTGTAGGCCTCTTTCTCTCTTGGCTCCCAGGATGTTTCTGTCTCCATCTGATCTCACACGGTCACAGCAGCAGCCGGGATCTTGGTATATTTATGCTCCCCCCCACCCCCCCGCACCTTCTGCAGTGCTGGTTTCTAGTTTTGCATTGCTGTGCATATACACTGAGTGGCCAGATTATTATTATCTCTGAATGCCTAATAATCTGCCCACTCAGTGTATAGCCTATATAATAAAAGGCCAATATGCAAATTGTCCCCAGGAGTCCGACCAGCAGGCAGGCCGGCCAACCGCCCATGTTCCCTTCCCCTGGCCAGGCTGGCCGGACCCCCATCCATGCACTTATTCATGCACAGGGACACACACACTCTCTCTCTCTCTCTCTCTCTCTAAATATATATATATATATATATATATATATATATATATATATATATACACATACACACACACACACACACACACACACACACACACACACACGTCCAGCGACCATAATAATCTGGCCACTCAGTGTATTTTGCAGTGCAGGATGCCTCAGGTACTGCCTGTAAGTGAGGAGGGTGGGATGGCATCACCTAGAGCTACAGAGCCCACGCTAGGACCACGGGCAGTTCTGCGCCTTCAGGGGCTCGGCAGGGGCTGGCAAGCAGCTCACCGCTGCCACAATTCTGGTCAACCCTTGGAAGACCGAGATGAATGCAGCCCTCCCGGGACCCCTTCGAGCTCTGATTATTTAGTCCTGGGCGATGAAGAAAGGAGGGCAGCCTTCGCCGGTTAGGCTCAGCGGGTACGGGGTCAGCCATGGACCGAAGGGTCCTGGGTTTCATCCAGTCGAGGGCACGTACATTGGTTGCAGGCTCGATTGGGAAGCATGTGCAAAGGCAACCAATCAATGTGTCTCTCTCACATCGATCTTTCTTTCTCTCTGCCTCTCCCTCTCCCTTCTGCCACCTCCAAAAATCAATGGAAAAATGTCCTCAGGTGAGGATTAAAAAAAAAAAGGAGGGCAAGTGTCAGCATGTTTGTGTCCTGCAAGGACTGCTAAAGAGAGTAAAAGCAGCCTTGTGCTGACCTCAACAATGACATCATTCCTGCTGTTGTTGCAGCGAGAAAGACAGAGGCAATTGGCCAGGGAGCGCTGGCTTCTGATGAGGTGCTGCAGGCGCGGGTGAGCACCAGGAGCTGGGGTCATCCAGGCCAATGAGAAGCAGTCCCAGGAGCCTGCCTGCAGCCGCACGGAGCAGCCAGGAGCACTGGCTTGTTGTCCTGCCTCCTGGAGGGGGTGGGGTGTGTGGTAGTGGTGGTGCAGGTGCCACCCCTTCTTTCTTTGATCCCCGAACCCCCAGTAAATAGGCCTCTCTTTTTATCTTTCCGTTGGCTTCTATGGGTTGGGGGAAGACTGGAGAAAGCGCCCCCCCCCCCCCCCCTTATTTCTCCAGTGTATTTCAATCTGCAGGGAGCACTGGCGGGGACAGAAATAAATTGAGTGGGTAGTGGCCAGCATTTCATCACATGAGCTAGAATGGAAAGGCTGTAGTAGGGATTAAGTATTGCTTCATGAAAGAGAGCAGTGGACAGGCATGTAGATAGGTTCGGGGCTGCAGTATAAAAGGCGTTACTCCGGGTTGCACTCAGCAACATCTAGAAGCCACTGGCCAGCTGATTCCGTGGGCTGGGACCAGCTGGGTCCGTCCTGAGCTCTGGGGTTCAGTCCCAGGCCATGTTGCCCCTCCAGAGAAAAATGCACCTCGGAGGTGCTTGTGAGGTGCCTCCTGTGGAGAGAGACATTTTTGTGGGCACCAGGCCCCTGAGCGTGGAAGGCCCTGCTGGAAGAGGGCACCCCCACTCCTGGCTGGCCGAGGCCAGCGCTGTCAGCTGGAGTGTGTGTGTCCGTCCATCAGACTCTGAAGATTCCTGAGAAGGGGGAGCGCTGGACTTGGAATCCCTGGTTCTGGTTCCAATCCGCCCCCCCCCCCCCCCCCCATTGCTGTATGACTCAGGGAAAGTGACTTGCCCTCTCTGGGCCTCAGTTTTCTCATGTTCAAGGGGAGAATTGAACCAAGTGATTTCTTTTCTAAGGGTTCGCCTTACAGCTAGCTGTTCCTGGTGAAACAGAAAACCTGGATCTGGGAGGAAATCACCAAAGGGAAGCTAGTATTGTCCCCGGCCTTCTCCCTCGGGCCCATGGGAGCAAAGGGCTTAGTCAGCCCAAGGGCCATCAGCTAGTGTGTCTGTAGGCCCCGGCGGGGGCAGACTGTGCGAAGAGGCGTGTGTGTGGGCCAGCAGGTGGCCCGGTCCTGGCAGCTCTCAGGGTACATGAGGACAGAGGCAGCCGAGCCTGAAGCTGGTCTCCATGGACAGTATTTATTAGACGCCATTCTCAGTGTGAAGACAGATAGGCAGCAGGGTCTAAAGGGAGGCCGAGGCAGCCGCAGCCTCTGGGGTCTGGGGGCTGCCCGGGGTGGGGGTGTGGGCGCGGGGCGTGTCACCCACACATATTGCATATTCTGTGGCAGTGTGCCCAGGCATAAGGCATTGGGGAAGCAGAAAGGCTGCCTGCAGTGGGAGGGCGAGGGAAGCAATGCTGGCCGTCCAGTTCCCCGGGAAAGACCCAGCAGAGGCTGGGAGCCTGGAGGCCGAGCAGGGCCATCTAGCCTCCTTCCCCACCATCTCCCTGCGACTTTGGTTGTGGCTCCCTCAGGACTGACGGGACAGGACCCCTCGAGGGCAGGGTCACACACAAGACAGAGGCAGCCGGCACCGCTCCCCACCCCAACATAGGGTCGCACACAAGACAGAGGGCCCCCCGGCTCCTGGGGCCTGCTCTCCCGGGCACGTGGGCAGCCAGCTCCTCCGGCTGAGACAGGACGCACACACAGGCCAGGCCAGACTTCCTCCCTCAAAGGGGTTCCCCGAGGCGGATGGATCACCCCGCGGGTCCTCACTCCAGCTCTTCTGAATGCCAGCGTGGGCCTTGCTGGGCGTGTTCAGGAGCTGGGACATGGGGACAGCAGGCAAGGGCAGCGCTGAGGGAGGAGTAGCTTCTCCCCCACCCTTGTTCGGGTGCCAGCGCCAGTGGCGGGTCCCCGCAGGGAACCCAGATTCCTGCCTCCGTCTCTGCTCTCCCTTAGGGTTTCCGGGTGGCAGGCGACATGGGCAGTTGGCACACCAACTCCAAGCCCTCCACCTGGGAGGGGCGTGCCTGGCTGAAGCCTCAGCTCATCTCTAGCCACTTGGGACACAGGCACCGAGACAGGCTGCGGGGTCAGGGATCAAGTCCCAGGCGGCCGTGCCTGCCAGCTCTCCAGCCCCAGCACTGGCTCAGACCTGAGGTCCGGGCCTGCTTTAGGCCCCGGTGCCCACACAAGGCCAGTGCACAGGGCAGGAGCTTTGCTTTCAGGAGCGGGCAGGGGAATGGGAAGGCAAGAGCACTCCGCCTAAGAACAAGTGGCCTGGCTTCTGTCTCCCCCCTCCACCCCACCCTTTGCTGTGTGTGTCACCTTGGACAAGTCCCATCACCTGTTTGGGCCTCATGGTCATCGGTAAAATGTGGATGAACACTCCCGCCCTGGCGACCTAACAGGAGTGTTGAGAGGCTCAAGCGATGAGCCGTCTGGACCAGGTTTTCCAAGGCTGCAGCTTATTCCGGGTGTCAGAGCTGGTGACCGTGAGCAGCGGCCGGATGGCAAGCTGGGCGTTTTCTGGTCCATCCAGGAGGGTGTAGGTCAGAAGGCTGGGTTCCCTCTGCCCCTCTGGGCATGTGACTGAAGGCCACTTGGTTCTCACCTGCCAGCGGGAGCACCCTGGCCATTTGCTCTCCCCTCCTTTCTCTGCCCATCCCCCTCCCCCTTTCCCCTATAGCCGACCTGGCCTGGCTCCTGTCCTGTCCGCCTGCCCGCTGGGGTCTAGCTTTAGGGGCCGCTGGGTTTCCACTTTCTCCATAACTGCAAAGCCATGCAAAACAACACAGAAGGTCGTGGGAGGTTCGGAGACATAACTGGGGGGTGAGGAAGGGGAGCAGACGAATTGAGGGTGACCTGGACAAAGACACCCTGGCTTCTGGAGCCAAGGGAAGGTGGGAGACCTGGCAGGACAGAGGTATAAATAGAGATGCAAACGGACACGGAACACGAAGTCCCCTCCGGATTGGGGGAGGGGGGGCAGTCTGGGTACCAGCAGGGCCTCTGAGAACTGGGGGGGAGCTCCTTAAATTTCCAAAGGGACGGGAGGCTCCCAGCTTCTGCCTTCCCTCCCTGCTAACCCTCTTCCCCCTTCCCCCTCCTCCCCCCCAAGTTTCACATTTCTCGGAATTTGCAGGGCGCAGATAGGGGCTCCAGGGTCCTCAGAGCCCCAGCTCCTGCTGGCTGGTGCGAGCAGGCACAGTCGGAGATGGGGGGGTGGGGGAGGAGGGATGGGGAGGGTGGAGAGGGGTGGGGATCCCCCAGGGGCTGAAGGCTGTCCACCCCACGCTGCAGGAACCCAGCCCCGGCCCACACCCCCAGCTGCTCCAGGCCCCGCGGGGCCGGCGGGCGGGCGGGGGACGTTCACACGGAGCTCCTGCGCTTCATGAGGCCCCGGAAGGTGGACAGGCTGTGCAGGCCGGTGGACACGGAGCTGATGGCGGAGCGCTGGGCCCCGCTGCACAGGCAGCGGTGCGAGGGCGTGTCGCTGTAGCGGCCGCCCCCTCCCGGCGACGAGTGGCTCTGCTCCACGCACGTGTCGGACGTGGAGAGGTCCCGCGGGATGATCATGGGGATGGAGTACTGCAGCTTCTCGCGGCTCTTGTACCAGAGGCAGGAGCACATGGACTGGAAGTGCAGCACCTCGGCGTACACGTTGCGGAAGCCGCCGCCGCCGCCCCCTCCGGCCCCCGCCCCGGCCGCCACGGCCGAGGAGGAGGCGGTGTCGGTGGTGTGCACGCTGCCGCCCGCGCCCCCGCCGCCGCCGCCCACGCCGCCGCCGCCCAGGCTCCCGCCCGCCAGGCCGTTGCGCGTGAGCAGCGCGCGGTGCTCGGCGTCGCGCTTCTCGTCCTCGGCGTTCATGGTCATGAAGCGCAGCACCACGAGGTTGAGGAAGGCGCCGATGACCGTGAGGCCCGTGAGGATGTAGACGAAGCTGAAGGCCACGTACTGCGGCTGCGTCTGCAGCGCCTGGTCCTTCTGCAGCGCCACGTAGTCGCCGAAGCCGATGGTGGTGAGCGTGATGAAGCAGTAGTAGTAGGCCTGGAAGAAGGTCCAGTGCTCGTAGTAGGAGAAGGCGGCCGCGCCGATGCACAGCGTGCTGATGCAGGAGAAGAAGCCGATGAGCACCATGTTGGCCATGGACACGTCGGCGCGCCGCATGCCCAGGCCCCGCTTGGCGCGGTGCAGCAGGAACTTCACGAACGTGTTGATGCGCTCGCCCAGGCTCTGGAACATGACCAGCGTGAGCGGGATGCCCAGCAGCGCGTAGAACATGCAGAACACCTTGCCGCCGTCCGTGCTGGGCGCCGCGTGGCCATAGCCTGGGGCGGGGGCGGGGGAGGTGAGAGAGAGAAACAGTGGAAAAAAGAGAGAAAGCAAGCTCTAGGGGCTGCAGATGCCAGACACCTGCCCCCTGCCCCTTGCCCCCTGCCTCCCGCCCCCTCCTCTCCTCTGCCCTGCCTACACCTGCCCCGCCTTGGCGAGGCCAACAGTGAAGGAAGCTTTCCTCTGAGCCAGCCATCAAGTGGCTTTAAAAATATATTTTATTGATTTTTTACAGAGAGGAAGAGAGAGAGAGAGAGATAAGAGTTAGAAGCATCGATGAGAGAGAATCATCGATTAGCTGCCTCTTGCACCCCCCCCCCCCCCAACTGGGGATGTGCCCACAATCAAGGTACATGCCCCTGACCGGAATCGAACCTGAAACCTTTCAGTCCACTCTATCCACTGAGCCAAACCGGTTTTGGCCATCAAGTGGCTTTAAGTCATGAGTTCAGCCCGGAGCCCTGGAGGGGATAGGACCCTGGATGGGAACGCAGAATTACCTAGGCACAAGCGCTGGCCCTGTCACTGGGGGCTGCGTGACCTTGGGCAAAGCACCCCCATTTGTAAAATAAAATCTACCGGTCCTGGCTCTGCTTCCTTCCCTGGGCTAAGCGATACATTGCTTTGTTAATGAAGTTATTATAATAAAAAATAATGCGGGCAGGCTTTCCAATTTTTCCTCCTTTCAAAGCCTTATCACAGCGTAACCAAATGTTGCCTCTTCCGTGCAGTTGTTCTGGGTTCTCCCCAGCGGGAAGTGACACAGGACGCTCGGCTCTGACCTCTAGGGCCAATGTTACCAGCGCCCCCCGGCCCGTCCCCCAGGGTCAGCAACTACACAGACTCAGTTAAACGCTAGCTGAGGGTGCAGGGTACACTCTGCTGGCCCTTGTGTTCCTCTCTCGTTCATGCTCAGGGGATATGCCCACAGCACCTTTGGTGAGGCAGGGCAGGATACGGTGTGCTTTGGTGCATGATCTGAATTCAAATCTTTATTCTTCCATGGACTGTGTGTGTGTGTGTGTGTGTGTGTGATTTTAAACTTCTCGGAACCTTAGTTTCCGTATCTGTAAAATGGGGCTGATGAGCAGGGCGTTTGGGGGTGAAATAAGTGAGAAAAGGTGTTTAAAGCACTAAGCCTAGAGCCTGGCATGTATCAAGAACAGCTCACTGTGATGGGTAACGAATGGAGTGCCAGGCTGCCCTCACCTTCCCCCTGGGCTGGGGGTCAGCTCAGGTCCAATAGGCCTCTGTCAGCCCGAGACCATTTGTCTTCCAGCTCAGGGAGGTCTGGGGACAGCTGCTTGGGGTATGTGAGGCTGTGGGCTACCCTCAGAACGGGGTCCCCTGCCTCCCTGACCCCGGCATCTAGCTGGTGACGGTGTCACCCTTTTCCAGGGGCTGGGACAGCCGAGCTGGTGCGCCCTCATGCCTGCCTGTCCGAGTCTCAGCTGAGTGAGAACAGATTGTGCCCGCCAGCTCGGCCATGGCAGCCAGATCACAACTCACCTCGACAGCTGGGCAGGCCCCGTGCCAGAGCCGCTTCTCACCCTGTCCTTCCCTGTCCAGCAGGCCAGTACCACCCAGGGCGTGGGGGAGGGCATGGCGCTGTGGATGGGCTGCATCGGGGTTGGGGAGTGTGGGCCCAGCTCCGGCTTGACCACAGGCTGGCTGTGTGACGGTGGGCAAATCCACCCCCTCTCTGGACCTCTCTTACCTTTCTGCACTCTGGGGCCTGAGCTACAGCTGTTAGTCCCTGCCTGCCCTGGCCGCCTGGCTGAGCTGTCTTCAGGGGGAAAGGAGAGACTAGCTGTGAAAGCACTTGGACCCTGTGGCGTTTGCCACAGCAGCAGCAGCCAAGGTGGGGGGGGGGCGGTCCTGGAGGTGGGGGCAGGCTCTGTGGGGCCAGGCAGCCATATCCCTCCCTCAGGGAGAAGGCCCTGTCTGGCCGCCACCAGCACCTCCCCCTGTGTTTGTTCATAGGCTGTGATTTCTCCTGGCCCATCAGCCCTTAGGAAGGCCCAGCGCCCACCCACCTGGCAGCCACAAAGTCCCCCAGCTTCAGGTGGGGGGCTCTCCACCATCTGAATACAGCCCACGACCCAGCAGACATGACGGCACCTCCCGTGCGCATCTCACACCGTTCTCCTTCCTGCCTCTCCCTGTCCCATCCCGAGTGCCCTGTCTCCCGGCCCAGAGGACAGTGCCTTTCCCTGCCCGCCTCCCGTTGGACGGAGTGGTTTTCAGAGCAGGCGGCACATCCAGGCTGAACCAAGGCTCTTACCAGGCTGGAGCCTCAGGCCTCGCTGCAGCCACGGTCCTGTCCAGGGTGGCCCCAGCCTCACCTTGGGGGTCAGCGGCCCTCAGGGCCCCCCTCACTTTCCACCAAAGCTTAGGCTGCAGGTCTTATCTTTCAGGTACATTTTATACTCTAACTCTCAAAAGCTTCCTAAAAGGTCATTAGTATGACTACCTCCATTTGACGGAGCAATTAAGGCTTGTGAGTTGGCCAAGGCCACTAGGACTTTCTGACTCATCACTCACTCCAGTGCCTTGGAGCCAATTCATCACCCAGGAAGGTGACGGGGATGGGAAGCCGGGGCCCCGAGAGGGCAGTGCTCCCCTCGGTGCCTCTTCCCCGGGCCGTGCCCGAGCCGGACACGGCAGAAACAGCACCAGGAGTGTGATGCCTAGAGAATCTACTAGTCCTGGGCTTCCCCATGAGTCAGGCCCACGGTCAGCATGCCTCTGCCCCTGTGGCTGGTCCACTGTCGCTGGGGGAAAGGCCCAGGGAGCTGTGAGGACCTGCTGACGTGGGCTCCACTTGGAGGGGTGCCTGCCGGGGTGGAGCCACTCCCAGGGGACCCTAGGAGGTCTGGGAAGTGAATGGGAGTTTGGCAAGGCTTGTCTGCCTGCCAGGAGGCCCGCTGCCTGCCTGGTCCTTGCCCACATCAGGCTGGGGCTTACAGCGGGGAGAGGGACAAACAGTAGTGCCCACCTTCTCCCTCCCGTCCAGCCCTGCGTCCCTGGAGAGGGGCTCCCTCTGTCCTTGTGCGTCACTGATACACACAGAGGCTGCCTTCTGGGGCTCATTGTCTGAGGACCCTCCTTCATCGAATCCAGTGGACTGACCAGCCAGAACCCGGGCACCAACCATAAGACTCTGGCGGCTGTCTGCCAGAGCGCTAACTTGTCCCTGCCCCTTGCCTTCCAGCCACCGGCCTGAATCCACCATTGACTTAAGGTGCTAAAGGCCAGAAGGCCCTTAGCAATCAGATAGCTCAGCCCTTAGAGTGTACAGATGGGGAAGTGAAGGCCAGAGAGGAAACATGACCTTCTCAAGGTCGTGCAGCCGGTGAATGGCAGGGCCAGGACTATAACCCAGGATGCTCAGTTCTAACCTCAATGCTCGGTCCTCTGCCCCCTGGCTCAGTGTGGCCAGGGTTGACCCATTCATTCAACCAGGTCCAGCATGTCCTGCGTGGGAGCAATTCAGCTAAGCAGTGGTCCTGGAACCGAGCTGGAGGCATGGGATTCACCTGAGGAAGCCGGGAGGCTGGACCCAAAAATTAATCATGTGGCTGGACATCAATATTAATGATGAATATCATTACAGTTCTTCTGTTTTCCTCCCGGTATCACCGAGGAACGCAGAGATTGGCTGAAGCTGGGGAGATGCAGAGGGTTGGGGTCCAGCGTGCCTCTGAGTGGACTTTCTCTCCCTGTGGCCTATTTCCTTCTGGTCAAAGCACAAATGATCAGTCTGAGCCTTGGTAATGGCCGTGGTTGAACTGGGCTCAGCTGCCTGCTCTCCATTGACCTCATATGCCTGCCAGCCTGAGTGCCCGGCCTGTACCCCTGGTCTAGCTGGCCACAGAGCCAGAACGCTGGCACAGCCTCGGGTGGAGGGAAGAGACCGGGGATCTGACTTGACCCTGACCACAGCTAGCTTTGTGTCTTGGGCAAGTCCTTTTCCTTCTCTGGGCCTCAATTTCCCTCATCTGTGACCTGGGAAGATAGGGCAAGAGAAAAGGTTTCCACCGTTTTTCCTCGCTCTGGATCCATTTTATTATTTTTTCTGTTTCCTCAGAGTGCAAATTTCGAAAGATTTTATTTATGAAGTACAATGTGTTGATCAGTGCAGTGTAGCTGCTACACACACCAGGCACTGAATAAATGTGACAGCGATAATTATTTTCCCATCAAAATGAATTAAGGACACGCCTGCCAATCAAAACTTCTGATTAGCCTGGGATAACTGATTTTATGAGTCTGAATCAAGTTATTGTTACCCTTTTGAAATACTGAAAATAGGCATTTCTGTTTTCTGCAGGGGATCTCTGCAGTTTAGTGGCGTAGATGAGAGCACAGCCTTTGGAACCAAACAGCTTTCAAGTTTGGCCAAGTGCCTCAGTTTCCACACCTGTAAAATGGGAACAGTGGGTGGACTTACCTCATAGAACTGCTGTGGGGCTTTGATGAGTGAGTAGACTTAAAATGCTTGGGATCCTGGGATCAATAAATATGGATCACTAGTATGAATAGTTTCGGGGACCATCAAGATTAGATGGTTTTTAAAGTTCCTTTCAGCATCAACATTCTATGATCAGTATTTCCCAAAGTTAATTTCCTGAGATACAGTCCCATGGTCTGCGAATAACGGTTGGGTGGGAAGTGTTGTTTGGTTAAATCCAATGGGCAGAAGGCTGAACGTAACAGGAGCTGCAGCCATTTCATTTGTGTCGGCTGCATCAGAGCCCACAAGTGTTAACATGCAAGGTCAGGCATGTTAACACGTGTGGTACATTTTCCCATTTGTATGACTACTTTTCTGACAGGGCACATTGCTGGACAAGGGTTCCCTAGAGCACAGTTTGGGAAACTCTCCTCCGTAGCCTCAAGAACTCCAAGGTCCTTCTTCCAGGGCTCCGATTCTCTGGTGTCCCTTCTCTGGTTGGCTCGGTCCTTCTCCAGGTGAGGAACACAGAGCTTGGCA